GTATATGAAGATTGATGGTGCATCATTCTATAAATGCACTTGAATTCCAGTCGAAGAAACGATGCCATTATTTATGTCGTCACGCACGGGAGGAAAGAAGACACAATAGAGAGATATGCAGAGAGAGAGAGAGAGGAAAGAAAGAATGAAAAAAGAGCGGTTGACGTATGTGCATCTCGAGTTGGATTGCACATATAAGAAATACATAACGTATAAAGACGAAACAAGAATGTATAAGAATAAATAAATAAATAGCTGGTTGGAGTACTCTCTAGCGCCTTCGATAGGGTTTATGAATATGCAACGTATGATACACCATTTTAAAGTTGTTCAGTCGTATAAACACTCTGATAAACCTTTTTAATTTCGTCTTTTGATGGGTAGATAAAAGGGTTTATCGCATGCTAAGTACTAAACGGTAGAAAAGAGTATATCATGCGTTCATTTTCAAAAATGCTTTAAACGTTTATCATTCGGCACTTTTTTTAATCAGTGTATGGACAATAGCTGTGTTAGAATGACGCATATGAACTCTCAATTGTTTTATGTAGATATTCGAGAATGAATGATTTTACTGGTTGATCTTATTCACCTCTCTGCTAACGATAATCAGCATAGCATGACTAATCTTCTCTTTTGAACAGAAATACAAATCTATGTCTTCGAACATTGTCTCGAACATGGTACGAGAGTTGAGACAAACATATTACGCTGTATGTATATTTCTCGTGTTGTGTACTTCAACATATGAGTTCCTATCCTAGACGAACATCTTGTAAGTAAGATCTTGAGCACAGATAAGCGAGCAGACCTTGAAAATTTAGGTACAAGATCTTGGATGACGCATTCTGAAAACATGCTTTGATATTTTTTCAATTTATCTTTATTTTAATTATTCCTATCCCGAATAACTCAAGCAAGTCAGATCCCAACATCTGACTTGCTTTAAGTTGGTCCGATATCCGTCAGACCAATTTAGGGAAGTCCTCTCTCGATCATCAATCGAGATCAGCATTCTCCCGAATAATCAATAATCGAGAAATAATTTAGAAAAAGACTTATTTTGAAAAATTAAGTTTCGTATGTTCAATCGTGTTGCTTATATTCAACTCTGTATGAATAAAAAAACGGTGAATGACTGGATAGTCTATAACGATATCTTTTCCATGATCTTGCCAAGACTTTGGCACAGATTTATCTGATACAACCAAGATTTCCAGATCTTGTTTACAAGATGTTCCACTAGGGGTAGGTTCAAGAAAACGGCATCCTTTCCGTCAGCTCTGAAAATGTTGCAAATAATATTAGAAGCAATAGTCGTTTCCTATTGATAAAACGGGCTCACGAATTATGGTGAAATCAGGTGGAAATGAATGTCTTATTATACCGTTTTATAGCTGTTTCAGGTCTTTTAAGAAGTCGATTAAGACCGTCGGAATGATCAGCCTGGAGACTATCTCTTATCTATTTTCGATGACATACCACAATTTTATTTTTTGCTTATAGATCAGTGATACTTACAAAAACAAGTATGGTATGTGACAATATCGAATCGTGCCTTATGCATATTTACATAGCTTGATCGAAACTGAAACATATAATATAAAACTTGTTAGTTATCCAAAGAGTGCTATTTTAACTTTTTACGTTATCATCACTATTTTTTTAATAGGCAGTAGTAATTACGCATCGCTGAAAACTAAACATGATTTAATAATGTCAAGTCTGATGAAGTTCCAAAACAAACGCTTATTTAATTCAGCCGATGAAATACAGTTAAATCCGACATCAACAGTTTTTCAAAAAAACTGAAAAACAAGTGTTTCAGTTGGATTAAACTCGGCTAAATGGTTTACGACAATTAAGAACAACTTTCGTTTGACATTGACATGTCGAAAGTTTGAAGAATTTTCATACGAACTAAATATTGCAATAAAACTTCTACGGTGTTGCCAGGAACAACGAAGCGTCTTGAATTTAATCAAGGCTCATAGGATCCATCCAACCGACATTCGACGACCAAACTTTTATCGAAGCGCCAAATACGTTTTTTAGCACTTGTAAATAAACAAAAACGAAATGGATAAGAGGGATATAACTAAAAGCTTCAAAATTCAATTTTCTTTCCTCGTTATTGAATAATAAATTACAACAAGTGCTGAAGTGTCCCGAGACAACCAAGACAGTTTTCGCATGGATGCTAGTGCTCATTTTTTCTCGGGGTTTATAATACACGAAAAGCTTGATTCCATCCAACTACTTTGGCCGAACAACACGGCCCATGTACGGTCGTAAAGTGTTAAATACAGCCCGTAATCCAGGTCGTTGTTTTACGGCCGCGTTTTTCTCGTACACAGTATACTTATAAGGCTTGCATATGACTGTATGCAGCGCGTATCGTGTGACCGTATTTAATCAGCCGGATAAGTTCAACGTGCAAAACTCGATCTTTGAGGCAGCCCCATAGAATTGTACGAAATTCAACACAATTTGTCGCGAAGTAAAAATGACTATGCAAATTCCTAAAAATTCTATTCTTATTGCACTCTTCGAGACAAAAAATTTCAAAGAAAACTGATTCAATATCGCAGACGCATATATTGTTGACGCTCACCCAAAAATTGAAGCTCTCTGAAAAGAATTTGAGTTTTCAAAAAACATCGTCGTATTTCTAGAGTTGCTTGCTTACACCGTTCGTATGGCTGTTAAATTTCTGTGAAGAGAAATATTTTTGTGCATATTGAAAATACTGCTTTTATTGCAGTTTTTCAGGGAAAAAGAAATTTTCACATTCAATTCAAAAGAGGTTATTTTAATACGTCTGCCCCTCAATATAAAACTCAAAAGTTTTTCTTTCCTCGNGAGATCTTTGCTAGTGTTCGAGGAAAGAAAAACTTTTGAGTTTTATATTGAATTCGTTTTGTCAAAAACAATCATTTGAATCCGAATTTTTGTGGAGAAGCTATTACAGTTCCCATATCGCATAACAATGTCCATCTTACTTTCAACATAATACGACAATTATCGATTAGTGACGAAGTCACTTCCTGCTCAGTACGCCTAAACCAAGTGAGGTTGAAATCTCAATGGTCTCAGTAGCTCCGCCACCACTGGTTGTTGTATTATTTTTAATGATGATTATATTCACAAAATTCAATGTAAGTAACAGAGAAGAAAAATTATTATTTTTTTTAGTCAGAAACTTTCCTATTAATTATCGGAATAAAATTCAATAAAAGTTCAATATGAAAGTTTACTTTTGTTTGATATATGTTAATTGGAAACTAACAAATTCTATCGAATCAACATGAGATATCTGAATTTTATCAATGAATCTATTAATAAATAAAGATTTTCAAAATCTCAAGGAATTATTAGAAAATTGTTCTCATATTAATTTAATAAACGTGAAAGCAGCAAATAAAAATAAATTTTTTGGTTAGTAAAGTTTATCGATGATCTTCGTGACTTTTAAAAATCGCTTAAAATATGAAAATTATTTTAGAAATTGAAATCTTTCAGACTTGGCTATTTTAATTTGAAATCATGAAAATTCTTTAATTTTATTTTATATCGAACAATAATTCAAGTTGAATAAATATCGATTCATTTTGAGTGAAATCTCTGTATTTGACATGGCTTAAAATAAACCGAATTTTTTTCGTAAAAGGCAAACGAAGATAAAATTTCAAAGTTGACAAGAAAAATCATTCATTTATATTAAAGATTTAGCATTTCATTCCATAAATAATTTCAATTTTCTATTGAATTCATAATCAAAATTAGAATGTCAACATTTCTCTGAAATAATTTAAAACAGATAATCAGGCTAGCTTATCTTTTCGAATAAACTTCTATCACTTCAAATATATCGAAGTCTATTTCTATCAAGTATTCAATGTTAAGTTCAAAAACAATGAAAATTATCGAATATCTTCTACGATAAAATAGATTCGAATTAAATTATTTGAAAATAAAACCAAAGAATAAGTTAAAATAATTGAAAGGTTTGTAGCTATCTTTTAAGACTAGATTTAAATATAGAAGATTTTATCTTCAATTTTCTCGTTCTTCCTCTTGCATTAACATCAAATAAAACATACCGAATGACAATTGAACGAAGATAATACGCAAAAAAAAACAGAAATCTTTTCTCTTTATCTAAGTTTTAAACAGTCTCAATTTTTTGCGAGTAAACTTCTTTGTGGACAATTTTTGCACGCTTGAAACATTCTATTTAGTTTAAAAGAAACAATTTTAATATGGAATGAAACTATCTTTCGACACTGAAATGTTTTTCTGTATTATTAAAATTAATTAAATTTAATATGAAGAATATTTACAAAATCGAACGAATTTCTTTATCAATACATATCATATTAGTATGCTAATACTCCATCTAGTATTGATTACGAAGGTTTCTAATGAAATTAATTGATTAGAAAAGTTGTTAGCATTTCGAATACATTCATTTTAAATAATTAACATTGAAAAAAATGAATATTCTGCATTAATCAATTCTATTTGAAAAAGAAATCTTCTTTGTAACAGTATAATTAATCAGAACGATTTTTATGCATCATGTTGACACAAGTTTTAAGCAAATCTTAATGACAAACAGTCATTTTTGATTAAAAAAAGAAGCATTCTTCTTCATTTACTTGCTTGACTTTTTTTTATTGAAAATTGGGAAAAAAGAAAGAAATGACATCGATTGTTTCGTAAGAAATTTCTTTTCTTTTGTTTTTTTAATCTTTATAAAAATAAATAAATAAATGAGACAGAAAGAGAGATAAATCCTTATAATTGATTGCCCATTAATTTGACATTTGAAATCTATTTCAAATATTGCATTTTTGTTATTTAGGTTTAAATTAAAATCAACAATTTAATATTGATATTAAATTAAAATTTCTCATTTTAATATCACCAAGTCTTTTAAATAGAATGAAAAGAAAACAACGCAATAAAAAATTAACTAATAAAAATCTTTTTACCTATTACACTGAAGTCATTGATATATGTTTTATCTAAAATAATTTAATTTAAAGATTTAATTTTTTATAGAATAGAAAAAAACTGACTTTTTCAGAAGTTCTTCCATTTAAAATGTTTTCTTTCTTTGCTTCAATTTCATATAAAGTTGATTTGATTTTTGAGTAAGATTTTTTTGATGATATTAATCTATAAATATTTAGTTAAATAAAAGCAATTTTGAAAAGAAAAAAAAACAAACTTTGGTGGTCTTGAAGCAGCAAATATTCGTGAACAGTTAACTAAATATCCATAGTCAAATGGATTAATATTTGATTTAAATTTTCCTGTCACTTGTTCATTAGTTGTTCTTCCACGAATAATTAACATTATATGAAAACTAGTTAAACCAACAACTGGAATAGTTAACAATATAATAAGCACCATTAATATTAAACATATTATTGAAGGTATGTCTCCAATTTTTGAATGATTTTTTAATATATAATAAATACAAAATGATAATACAACAAACATATGAATTAATAGACTTAGTAAGAAACAAATAAAATAACGATAATTACGACGACCTTTATATATAAAGAATTTCATTTTCATTAGAAAGGAAAAAGAAAAAACTTACCAACACAATTATTTAACCAAGGACAATGATGATCAAATGTCTTTAATTTAAAAGCAGACAACAATCATTACATTATAAAAGATGAAAAATAATAACTTACATCAATGCAAAAATCACATACAGAACAATGAGAACATCGAGGAGGACGATAAAAACCGCATGTTTGACACCATTTCATTCGACATTGTGTTCCATGAATTTCAACTAGATAAAATTTCATATGATTATTTGATTATAAAAAGAAAATGTTCGAGAAACCTGTTTTATGAAATGTTGTTTCTGAATCATCATTTTCATCAGGTGGAGCTCGACTATATCTTCCCGGATCAATATTTATAGCAAATATAAAATTATTAATTACAAACAAAAATAGAATTGATTGAATTATTGGAATTAATATCGACAACTGATTTGTTATCCATGGACAAATAAATATAAAATATAATGATGATAATACAACTAATAAACTCCAAGCAACAAAACAAGGAATACGACGTGATATTCCTCCTATACATCGTCGACATCGGTTATTAGACATTTTCAATTTAGTTATCTTATTTCTACGATATATTCAACTCGAATTTTCTATATATATATCTAACCATTAGATAATTATGTAAACCTCTTCCATGATGTAGCGTTTTATTTTTTTATCAGAGGTCGCTTCTTGTTAGTCTAAATCTAAATCTAAATCAAATATTACAATCTTAAAATAAATACTGATTTAAGAATTTTTAGAAATTTTTAAAGAACTATAAACTAAATTGACTAATCGTTTTACTTTCGGTTACAAACTGACTGACTAGAGATATATTAAGATTTTTCTATTATATTGACAGTTAATTTGATTTATTGTTTATGTCAACAAACGATTTATGGTTTCTTCAAGAGTATTTTTACCTATTAACAAAAATTCGATCTATAAACAATTAGTTGGCAATTTTTAAATTAACTCAATTATTTTTTGTCTTTTTTTTGAGAGAAAAAACTTTAGTAATTAATCGAAATCGATGATCAATTCTATTTTCTGATCGAAAGAAACAAATAATTATTTATGATTTAATAAGTTGACAGAAATCCTTGATAAATGTTGGTTAAAAACATTGAGAAAGAAAAACAATTTTATTGGCATAGATTTATGATTCATGTCAAGAATCATATCCATCAGTTAAGATATTGTTAACATGCAAAAGAATGTCTTCTTTATTTCAGCAATGAATAAAAATATTTTTCTAAAAAATTTATATTCTATCAGTCGATTTTGATATTTTACTTTAATGCATAATATTTATTTTATCAGAGAAAAAACACTTTCAGTCAATTTTTTTCGTTTGTATTTAAAATGAAAATATTGAATATATAAATATAATTTGATAGAATCAGAAAAAAGTAAATATTGTTTTGAGAAATCATGTAGAAATAAATGCTAATCAATACGAATAAATCATTTGATTTTTTTTATCGCAAAGGGGATAACGTCGAATGTCATCCATGTGCAAATAATATTCATTCAATATAAGAAGAAAAAGAAAAAGAAAAAAATAGCTGACGAGAGAGAGCGACAGTTAACTAACGTCGAGATCGATTGATTGAGAAAAGAAATATGTGCATTGACTAAAAGAGTTCAAATAACGAACACAACTTGTTCGCAGTTGAGAATAAAATAAAATATTTGTTAAATCTTCTTACGAGAACAACGGTAAGATTAGAAATTTGATCTGAATAGATTAACATTGATCTTTTCACGTGAATAAATAAATAAATATATATGTATCGATATTTACATAAGACAACTATATTTACATTTTATACGAATAAAAAAAAATATCAACTTAGTTTTTTTCTCTTTTTCAATGAAATTTATTTTCTTCTTTTCTTTTATCAAAAAACCTGTCTTATTTATCGTTTATTCAGATGAAATAAAACTCGTTTGAGTATATTTACGTATTTATATAATTAAATAAATCGAAAACGCAACATTTCTTTTTATATCAACTTTAATATAGTTACATGAAAAAAAATACTTAAGAATAATAATAATCGAACCCTTATTCGTTTGTTTTTACTTTATACTATATTTTCAACTAAAACTTTTGATAATTATAGGAAATGTTTTAATTAAGAAAAACATCAGTGAAAATTTCTAGTTGATAATTCGATAATAGATCAAGTTTTATTGTAATAATCGTTGAAGAGAGAGAAAAAAAGAAATACATAAGAGAAAAAGGAGGGAAAGAAATCAATGTTAAAGATAAATTCTGATTGGATGTTGAAGAAATGTTTCGAAAGGGCAAAACAACTGATGTTGTTTCAACCACTGAAGCTAAGATGCATATAACCACACAACCGCACAGCTACAGAACGAGATGAAGAACAAGAAAAAAAAAGAAATAAATGGTTGCTACCACTTCTATTCAAATAAGTAAAAGGAACGAGAACAAGAAAAAAAAGCCACAGAGATTATTTCTCATCGGTCGTTTTTTTTTCTTTATATGTGCTCTTCTCGATATTTACCTAGTCGTAGTTTTTTTTTTCTCTTCTCTCTTTATTCTCTGTTTATTGTCGGGGGCGAAGAACAACTAGTGAGATATATACAGTGGGGACAAGCACAAGCACATTTGTTCTCTTTAGTTATTCGCCATTTAGTCAAACGTTGTCGAATACAGAAAAACGAGAGAGAGAGAGAGACAAGCGGACTCTTTTTTCCTTGTTATTTTTATTAGATCTAACAGGTAAAAATATATTTAAAGCATCAATAAAATTGATCATTTTCTTTTCCTATTTCATAGATCTTTACTAGAATTTTACTTTTAAATTAAATTTTCTTTTATATCTAGAAGATTTCTTTTCGTTTTTCAAAAAAGTTAGGTTTTCTTTTTAGTTTTGCTTATAGAAATGCGCCATTTTGGACAAATGTCTATTGTAGAATTCGTTTTTATTATTAACTTTTTCAAAAGAATTATTTAATTCAAATTCAAACTAAATAGAATAAAAAAATATTAGGATTGAAAATAAAACTTAGAAATATATGAATGGATATATATTTTAAAACTTAATTAAAAATAAAAAAGTGACATCTGTAGATTTTTGTAAAGAAGATCGTTTATGTATATAATTAAATTCTGTTTTAGAAGAGTAAAGATCTGTAAATGAGTACAACACGAACAATACGTCGTACAGTTGAACATGGTATTCGACCAGTATCAGATGTTGGAAAAGGTGAAGTATTAACATTAATGCGTGAACAACGTGATCATGAAAAACAAGAACTAAGTGAATTAAATGATCGATTTTCATCTTATCTTGATCGAGTTAAATATTTTGAGCAAACAAATAAACAATTACAAAATACATTAGATCAATTAAGATCAAAATGGGGTTTAGATTCTGATAAATATAAATCTGAATATGAACCTGCATTAAATAATTTACGAAAACAAATTGACTTAGCCACTGTTGAAAAAGCGAAAGCTGAAATACGTTCAAAAAGAGCTGAATTTGATTTAATTTATTATAAAAAATTAGTTGATGATATTAATCAATGGACTAATCAAGATAAGTTAAAAATGAATTCTCTTCAATCAACAATTGATGAAAATCAACGAGAATTTGAACATGTTCAACGTTTAATGGCTGATGCAATGTCCGATATTGAAAAATATCGAAACGAAATGAAACATTTATATGAAGAAATTTCACGTTTATTAATTGAATTAGATCAAGAAACAATGGCAAGAATTAAAATTGAAAATGAAAAACAAACACTTGAAGAACAAATACCTTTTCTTTCAGCTATTCATGAACAAGAAATGAATGAATTGAGAAATTTATCTTCACCAAATATTGGAATTGATCCAACAACTTTTTATAAAAATGAACTTCAAAGAGCCATAAGAGAAATTCGAAATGATTTTGAAAATCTCTCACGTTCACAAAGATTAGAACTTGAAGAATATTATAAAATAAAAACTGATGAAATTGTTCAACAAGCTCAACAACAAAAACAACAACAACAAAATCAATTAGTTAATCAAGATAATTCAAATCAATTAAGAGTTTCAATAAATGAAACGAAAAAAGAAATGTTCGATTTACAACAAGATTATAATAATTATTTACAACAAATGAGTCAATTGGAATCGAAACTTGAAACACTTAAACGAGGTGAATTGATTTTTATATTAGAAAAAAAAAATAATAACAACAACAAATAATACTGATTTGTGTTTTATTTTCATTTTAGAAAATGGAGATTTAATTGATACACGTGAAAGAGAAATCTTAGAACTTCGTTCTCGTTTAAATCAATTAATGAATTCATATGATGAAATTCTTTCAAATAAATCTTCACTTGAATTTGAAATTAATACGTATAGACGCTTGCTGGAATCCGAAGAAGCTCATGTTAATAAAATCAAAGAAACTTCTTCAAAAACTCAAATTACATCAAATATCTCATCAGCATCGATAATAAAACAATCTCAATATGATAATTCAGCATCAATACAAAAAACAGTTCTTGATACAAAAATCAATCAAACTGAAATGCAAGCTAAAACAACTTATCAAAGATCTGCTAAAGGTTTAGTTTTTCATTTTTTATTTTCACCAATTGATTTTTTTTTGTTCTCTTACAAAATAGGACCAATTAATATTGATGAATGTTCACCTGATGGAAAATATATTCAATTAGCAAATACATCAAAAAATAAAGATATCGATTTAACTGGATGGCGTCTTTTAAGAAAAGTTGATAATTTGCCTGAAATAACATATTCGATTCCATCAGGTTTTAAATTAGCTTCAGGAAAATACGTTAAAATTCATGCTCGAGGACAAGCAAAAGAAAGATCAAATTATGATCTTATATTAACAACACATGATTCATGGGGAATTGGTGTTAGTGTTGTTACGCGTCTTTTAAATGAACAAAATGAAGAAAAAGCAACACATATACAAAAGACTGTTTATGCATCATAATTATTCATCATCTTTATTTTAATCTTAGAACTCTTCTCTTTTACATCATCTTCTTCTTTACATTTTGTTTTTGTCATTCAAAGTGTGCTTCTTCTTCTTCTACTTCTTCATCTTTATTAAACTTCTTCAATCGAAAATAAATAAATTTAAGTTAGCTTAAACATTCTCTTTTTATTTACAATAATTGATGATTCAATAGCCAACGAAAAAAGAAATAAATAAAACACAGAACTTGTATTGATTTTATCTTTCATCGAAATAGATAAGCAAGAATTTATTTCTAAATCTATTATTAATTTATTTCAATGGTTTATTATTTGAAAAATAATAAAATGGAGTTAATAAGAAACAAAAATAGATTATTTATTGAAGAGTATAAATTCATTTTAATCAATATCGACTTGTTCAAGATTTTCTTAAAGAGTTCGTTTCATTTTTTTTTGTCTTTTATGAAATGAAAATAATTTAAAATTCTATTCTAAATTGAAATATTCTTGAAAAGACTTACAGTTGAGATCAAAGTAATAAATTAAAAAAAAACATTCTCTAAGTGTCTTC